TGTGTGTGTGTGTGTGTGTGTGTGTGTGTGTGTGTGTGTGTGTGTGTGTGTGTGTGTGTGTGTGTGTGCACGCGTACGTAGTCACTAAAGTGAAGACGTTACTCCTGCATGTCCAACCCTGTCATAGAAATCTATTCTGGTCACAACTCTGAATGTGTCTCTATAACGATGATGAACAACGGTTGTTGTCTTGACATCCATCTGTTGTTGTCACCAGAGACGAATGTTGCTTCTAAAAGAAGCTGACATTACACGTCTGTAATGTGTTCATACACATGTTACATGCCTGTAATGTGTTCATACACATATTACAAGTCTGTAATGTGTTCATACACATATTACAAGTCTGTAATGTGTTCATACTTATTCATTCATATTTATTATCTGCATCGGTTTTATGTCTATATTTTTGATTTACTTATTTTCTATATTGCTTCGTGTGTTGTCTGTTGTTCTGTCTGTACAGCACTTTGGTTGGCCTTGTAGCTGTTTTAAGTGCTCTATAAATAAAATGGTATGGTATGGTATACACACATTACACATATGTAATGTGTTCATACACATGATACATGTCTGAAAATGTGTTCATACACACATTATGTGTCTGTAATGTGTACATACACACATTACACATCTGTAATTGTTCCTACACATGTTACATGTATGTAATGTGTGTATGAACACATTACACATCTGTAATGTGTTCATACACACATTGTCTGTAATGTGTTCATACACACATTGTCTGTAATGTGTTCATACACGTTACATGTCTGTAATGTGTTCATACACACATTAAACGTCTGTAATGTCATACACCTTACACGTCTGTAATGTCATACACGTTACATGTCTGTAATGTGTCAAAGCTTGGCAGCACTCAGACTGAATTATGTGGAGCTGCGTCAGAGATTGAGCAGCTGTTATCAGGACTGTGAACTTTCTGGCAGCACCCATGAATGGTTGGGAATAATCTTGGAGAAAGATGTGAGCTCGACTTTTGGCGTAAAGAATCAATTCGGCTGTTTGGAGTCACCATCACAGAAATGTACCAGCGAGACTTTAAAAGGCAGAAACGGCAATTTACGAGTTCTGCCTGACCCAAACTGTGGCCTTGATGGTGGACTTATCTCGACTCAACCTGGCATGTTTAGGAAAAACAAAGACGCTTTGTCTGTCTCCTCACCCCTCCTTTCCCCAAGGCCGTGGACATGTGACAGAACCTCAACCGAGCTGATGATAAAAAACACCTCTTATCTGGATAATGGCTGAGAGGGGGGGCTCTGGACTATGCTATGACCTTCCCTTAAAATTCAATGTCTTCATCTGCCTTTATGTATCACATCTATTTATGTGCTATGCTGTGATAGGTATTTTTGATGCCTCAAATCATGCCCTGTCTAGGACAAGGTGTGAGAGATCTTTTTTTATACCGTCTCTCCTCATGTTTTCTTCCCTTTTCTCATTTAAGCAAAAATATTATTCTGAGGAAGAATAAGAGGGCTGCGCTAATTAGCAGCAGCTTCAAGCACTACATCCATCTTTCGGACGACTGTACATCCATGTTCTTGTTGTATCTTGGTGCAATGACAATAAAGCATATTCTGATTCTGATACACACGTTACACATCTGTTATATGTTCATACACATTACACATCTGTAATGTGTTCATACGTACAATACGTGTTTGAGAACACATTACAGACGTGCAATGTGTTCATACACACGCCACATTTCTGTTATATGTTCATACACACAATATGTTTGTTGTGAGTTTGAGAGCACATTACATATTAGTAGTATGTGCATGAACAAATTACAGACATGTAATATGTTTGTACACACATTACACAACTGTAATGTATTCATGCACATGCTAAAACACCTGTAGTGTTCATACACGTTACACATCTGTAATGTGTTCATACAAAATGTTCCATGTCTGTAATATGTCCATACACACGTTACACATCTGTAATGTGTTCATACACATGTTAAAATCTGTAATGTGTTCATACACATGATACAGAACTGTAATGTGTCCATACACATGTCTGTAATGTGTTTATATACGTTACACGTCTGTAATGTGTTCAAACAATTTACATGTCTGTAATGTGCTCATACACACGTTACAGATCTGTAATGTGCTCATACACACGTTACACATCCGTAATGTGTTTATACACACGTTATACATCTGTTAAGTGTTCATACACACATAGTCACATCTTGTGTGTTCCAGGATGATTGAGGAGAAGAGGAGAAAGCCTTTTTCAAAGTTCTGTGCCAACTGAAGGGACATTGAAAGAATTAAAATCCTGGAAAAGTAGGTTGTGACTGAACTGTTTTTGTGACATCATAGAATATAGACATGGTGGCAGCATAGGGCTGGACAATATGGCCAAAACTTTTATCACGATATATCTCTTGAATTCGGTCGAAAACGATATAATTCGATATCGATATAAACAATATAAAAGCCTCAGAAAAACTACAAAACTATACAAATAAATTAATGTTCACCTTTTATTTGTATTTAGCCTTAAAAAAAAATGAAATCACTGTCAAATAAACATAAAATTCTCAACTTTGTCAATATTAATAGTTTTGACTTTAAACAACAACTTTAAAATTGACAGCATTGAAATTCGTTGTTAATGAAATAAACTTTTTGGGTGTCGTTATTGATGAGAAGCTGACATGGAAATCTCATGTAAAATACTTTAAAATAAAAATAACAATCAGTTGCATTACTGTATAAAGTAAAATAGTTTTTGAATGACAAAGCTTGTATATATTGTATAATGTATTGATTGTTCCATATTGAATCTATTGTAATGAAGTTTGGGGAAAAGCAAAACAATTAACAAATCCTATTTTTATTTTTACAAAAAAGAGCTATAAGAATTATTAGTAGTATGAAGTGCTATGGTCACCCAACAAATATATTATGTCATCAATTGAAATTATTAAAATGTTGATTTGGTTAAATATAGTATTTTACAAGTCATGCATAAAGCTCATAAAAATATTAGCCCCAAATATTCAATTAAAATTTGTAAAAAATAAATATAAAAAAAGGAGAGTCAATATAACTTAAGGGAATAGAAATGTTTGTAAAACCTCATTTAGAACTAGTGTGAAGGAGCTGTGTTGTAATTCAGGGAACAGAATTATGGAATTGTCTTGATATCACCATAAAAAATTTCTAAAACAATTTATATGTTTAAAAAGATGATAGTTAAAGTTGTTAGGAAGGTTTAGTACCAGGTGAGGGATACCTGAAGTTTTTTTGTTTTCAGTTTGGAGATTGTTCAAGTCAAGGTTGTTGTTTGTTTCTAGTTATTTTGTATTTTTTAAATAAGGGGCAGATAATAATTTTTTTTCTTCTTTCTGCAACCTTTTCATTCAATGTTTTTTTTTTCTTTCTTTCTGATGAATTTGTTTTATTTTAAATGAATGAATAAATGATAAAAACAAAACAAAAAAACATGCAGCGCTGGGGGTGTTTCAGGGACACGTTGGCTCAAACTTTTATTGTGCTTCATCTTGTGACTCATCATATTCTGTCAAGTGGAACAAGTTAGATGTTTCAACCGCTAGTTAGAACGACTCTCCGGCAAATTTTGCAGCACACTGACTGAAACCTGCAGTTTATCAGATCTTAGAAAGCCGAACCACTTCCAAACCAGCAAATTAGTCTTTTCTCTCTTATCAGTGACGTCATCTGCTTCTCTTCGCTTGTGGAAGCTTGTTCAGTCACATTCTGACGGTCATGGGAACTCATTTTGAAGAGAAAACTTAACGCGCGTTGGAGATTAGCCTAGCTTAGCCTGCTACCACTAACTCCTTCTGGACTTGAGCTCTGCGTAACATTACGTCACCACGCACTTACGTAGTTGTGTTGCACCTTTTTCTGTCTGGGTTGAAACTGAAGTGGCCGCTTCAACCTGAACAGAAAACGCTGTAATCCTATCGAAATATTGAAAAAGTGCTTAAAATTCATATCATCGTTATTGAATAAAAGTATATCACGAGATATATCGATATCGAATTATTGTCCAGCTCTATGGCAGCATAGTGACGATGGATTTGTAAATAAAAGTGTGCCAGTGTAGAAGTCTACAGATAGATAATGATTTAAAGTTATATCCCACCCTCACCCTTTAGCCTGGATTAAAACATATAGAACAGCTAGATCAACTTACTTTATAAAGGTAAACATCACTCTGATGTCACAAACTGAAGTGATGCCTTTTCTACTATCCCAGGGCTCATTAATCAAATGAAAACTCAAACTGAACCATTAGCTCATCCTTAAAACCCGTTAGATATCTTTTACCTGAGAGGTGATTTCCCTCCTTATGTCAGTTCTGACTCGGAAACAAGCAGCACACACACACACACACACACACTTGCACCCACACACACACTCGCAACACACACGCGCACACACACACTCGCAACACACATGTTCAGGCATAGATAAATGACGAGGAAGCTGGAAGATGGAGCTACTGGTGGCAGAGCAGATGTTTAACTTTGACAGCTGGCGCACCGGTGCCTCATGGGTAATGAAGTTCTTAACCAATTACGACTTGGGGAAATTAAAAACATTGTACCAGCAGAGCATCTAATAAACTATCACTTTTTCTTTTTGTTCCCTCCTGCAGCTGCTACATCTTTACCCAAAACTGCCCACATGCGCACCCACACATACACACACACACACGAACGCCCCC